AGCAGTCATCAGACAAGAAAGACAAGTACCAGCAAGCGTCCCTTCCCAACCATCACCTGCAGCAGCAGCAGCAGGACCCAGCGAGTACCACCACCAACGATCCGAGGACCACCAACCGAAGCAGATCAACTTATGCCCATCACACGAGAAGTCTGTCGAAGTCCCGCCACGGTCGTCGCGTTCTTCTCCAACACCGACATATACCAACGCTCGCCCGGTCATCGCGCCTCCGACGACATCTGGCACCAACGTTTTGGGCATCCTGCAAATAGCACGATACTACAAACCATCCAAGCCAAAGTGTTAGAACAAAACGCTCTCCTTACAACAAGCGGACAGGAACTTCGACGACCTCGCGCATGGTGCTTCACATGCCCCGAAGCAGATCTTCAGCACCAACCTTTTCCGTCACATCACAATCCAAGCGCACCTGCATACGCACCGATGGAAAAGGTTTACAGCGACATCTTAAACATGCCTCGAGACAACACTGAAGCCGACTTCAACTATGTCATAACGTTCATCGATGCAGCAACAAGATATGTCTGGCACTACAACCTCAAGACGAGAGACCAAGCCTTCAAAGCCTTCAAGACGTGGCTTCCCATCGCTGAACGAGAATCAGGAACGAAGCTCAAAAGCTTCCAGTCAGACGGCGCACTGGAATACCAGTCACAACGCTTCAGGACCTACTTGGCGGAAAGAGGAATCAGACGCTTGGTGTCTCTTCCCTACGCTCACCAGCAGCAGGGGGTCGCAGAAAGAATGAACCGGACCTTGCAGACGACGATGCGGAAGCTGCTTCTAGGGATGAGACTGCCCAACGCACTGTGGCCAGACGCGATGACCCATGCAGTCCACCTGCACAACCTCCTATCCTCGTCATCGCTTCCCAACAACGCATCACCGCACCTGCTGTGGACAAGAAAAAGGGGCAGCACAAAATTACTTCGGGTTTTTGGCTGCATGGTACAGTATAGACCCCACACAGCCAGAGCAGGACGCTTCACTCAACGAGCACGATGGGGACTACACCTCGGCATCGCCGAACATTTTCAAGCATGGAAAATCCTCGACATACAAGACAAAATACCATGGCATCACGTGATGTGATCTTCTACGAACGACTGACGCTGCAGCATTACCTGGACAACGTCGCCAACACAGACGACCCCACCGACGGTGTCACAGGCCTTCGCTCCTTCGCTAACCGTGCTGCCGAGGCTGACGCAGCAGAAGAAGACGTACCCGGAGCTTCGGAAGCTGACGGACCACTCCCTTACTGCTCCATGCCAGTCCCACTCCACGACGACAATCCTCTCGATAGCAACAACCTCGACACCTTTTACCACTTCGCTGACCAAGGTTGCGTTACACCTCACCTAGTCGACACGAATGTCTCAGAACGCATCGGCCCAAACTTCTTACATGATCCAGAAGATGGTGACGAAGCAGCCTATTCCGGGAATGAAAATTCCCCTCGACACACGGGACTGCAAATCCTCGGCTTATGGGTCTCCGTCCAGCACCCGCCGCTTCCATCTCCGCGCGAGCCCACGACTCTGTCACAGGCTCTGGGGGGGGAACATAAGGCAAAATGGAAGGAGGCGATGGAAAAGGAACTAAAAGCTCTACAAGACCGAATACATGGAAGCTGGTACCTGCAACGAACATCAACGGGAAGAACGTCCTCTCGGGAAAGTGGGTGTACCGCATCAAGACCAATGCGGACGGTTCCATCGAACGATTCAAAGCTCGATGGGTCGGACGAGGCTTCGATCAACGATACGGAACCGACTACACAGAAACATTCGCCCCAGTCTCCCGTCACACCTCCTTGCGCATCCTACTCGCCGTCGCGGCCACGAAGAAACTACCACTGCGCCAAATCGACGTCGCAAATGCTTTCCTGTACGCACCTGTGGACGCCGAGATCTTCGTCGAGCAGCCCCACGGATTCATCGACGACCCCACAAAAGTATGCCAGCTGATAAAATTCCTTTACGGGATCAAGCAAGCCCCGCGGCTTTGGCAGCAGCACCTTCACGGTCGCCTCGTCGGAATCGGATTCCTACAACTGCCGCACGACCAAGGCATGTACCGATTACAGAAAGGAAAGGAATTCATCCTACTCATCGTCTACGTCGACGACCTGCTCTACATGGGCTCCACTACTGACATCGCCACCTGGTTCGAAGGGGAGTTAAAAAGGGACTTGACACTCACGGTGTCAGACACCGTAACCCAGTACCTGGGTCTGAACGTCGTCGAAGACAACTCGGCGTTCTACTTATATGCTGGAAAATACGCAGGCGTCGTCGCAAAGAAGTTCGGACTAACACCAACTATAGTCGCGACTCCCTACCGCTACGAGAACAACAACGACACCTCCGCAAAACTCCCCGCGAAGCAAATCCAGGAGTATCAGCAGAAGCTCGGCTGCCTACTATTCGCAGCAGTAACCTGTCGACCTGACCTATCCTACAGCACGAGCCAACTGGCGACGCATCTAAAACAATCGGAACAAGAAGATCTCGAGAAATTAAATCGGGCACTACTCTACTTCGTCTCTATGCCGACGACCGGACTGACCTACAGTAAAGCAACAACATCGTCCGTACAACTACTCGGAAGCGTTTCTGAAGTGTAAACACTACACTTGAGAAAAAGTCATAACGGGTACGCGAGTCAACGAAGGTTACACGAAGGGGCGGACAAAGAACACGAATGGACACGAAGAGTCGCAACCGGAGGTTGCGACTGACCGTTACAACTGCAAGGATGGTAACAGAACCGTCAATCGAGTCGCTGTGCGACTCGAGAAACCGATCCTTTAACTGTAGCGCGTTAGTACTAGAACTCTAGAGAAGGAACGTGCTTACTAAGAGCGGCAGCGCCGTGACGCGAAGCGATGCGAGACGCCTGCTCTGTGCAACCATGCGGTGAGGAGGGGGAAAGAACCGCTCGACGCGTGGCTCGCTCCAGAAGGGGAGGGGAGAGGGGAGGGACCGGGGGTGGGCGGGGGTGGGCGGGGGTGGGGGAGGGGAATGGGGATTCTTCGTGGCGAAACCACGCGGCCGGGCTCGGTGGGCGGACCCTGTCTCAAGGGAAACCGCGTCCTGGCGTCAACCAGAAGGGGACTCTGTCCCTCGGAAAGAGTAGGACAACAGTAATACTAGCCAGTCATACTTCACCATGAAGTGATAGCAGGCTTCACAGCGCGACAGACTTTTGAGGCTCCTCAAAAGTGGTAGCAGGCTTCACCGCGCGTGAGACTTGGAAGAAGTCTGACTTGGAGCTCGCTTCTATTGTAGCAGTGGTGGTAAGAGCGGAGGAAACGCCAAACAGCGTTTCAAAATTGGGGTTGAGTTGACCTCGGGCGGCCTGAGAGGAGCTGGTCGGCCAGCCTGGCCCTCTCTCTCGGCCAGACCCAATCTGCCGACACTACTGTACTGCACGGTACTACTATTCGCGGGGGGCGATGCGCGAGCATCGGCGCGTCAAGCTTTCTCCGACCTGAAATTACCCGCCGTGCATCATGCAACGACGAGCAGGTAGTAGTAACTTGTCGACACTACTACTGTTCGCGAATAGTACTGTACAGTAACTCTTCGCGAGGGGCGGGCGTTACGCAATGAACTTGAGCCGCCGCGCGTCAAACTTCCGATCCGAAGTTACCCGCCGCCCGCGTCATCCAGCGACGATCAGGTACGTGCTAGTAGTACAGACAAGTGCTGCAGTCGATTTGACTTTTGAGTCGACTCACAAGTCACGAGCAGGATCGGATCCGCGCGTCACGCAACGAAGAGCAGGTACTGTAGCAGTGCTGCCTGGCGGGCTGATGCCAGCCAGGCTAGCGCGCCGAGCCACGCCGGGCGACTAGTTCAGAGGCGGCCTTAGAACTAGATTCCACGCGGGGCGACTTGCCTGGGAGCAATTGGAAGCAATCAGTGGGCGAGAGGGTGGGGGCGGGGGAGGATCGAGACAGGAAGGGCCGCAGCATATCCGCCCGACCTCGCAAGAGACTCGATCGACTCTTGTTCCGGAGGAGACTCTCGGAAGCTCTTTCGGTGAAGGAGGGCGTGCGACTCTTTGGGAGGAGGGAACGCCGTGTACACGCCGTGTGCGGAAGGCGGGAAGGGGCGGGACACCCCGTGTACACGCCGTGTGCAGAAGGAAGGGGCGAGCGGGACATTCTTAAAAGTCTGACTTTTGACGATCGGCGCGGAGCGGAACGGGGAGGAGCGGAGAAAGAGAGCGGAGCGGAGACCAGCGCGTGCGGCCGGGGGGCGGGCGGGCGCAAAGCTCCGCGCGCGCCAATCGGCCGCGGATCCTATTCCGATCCCCTACGCTGCCGCGCAGCCATGGGACGCCGGACGCCGACGGCCCGTGCAACCCAGGTGAGTATGACGTTCGGCATACGCGGAAACTCTGACTCAGAGGATGAGGGACGAGTCACGAGTGACAAGTGTTGGAGGGGTGTGTAGGTGGGGGTTCTGCTCCACTTTTTTTGCGAGGATAAAGGTCAGACTGGCGAGTGGGGGGGGAGAAACCAGGTGGGTGAAGGAAAGCAGAGCGGAGGTGAGGAGGCGGTGGCCTGGGAGGCTGGGTTGAGTAGGTGCGCGCTCTGAGGGGCCTTGTAACGAGGAAAACCAGTTACTGTCTTCAAGGCAGCGTAGGAAGGATGGAGGAAAGGGCAGCGTAGAAAAGCCCTAGGATCTTCCTTACGTGTTCTTTCGTCCAACCTCCTCGTGTAACCTCCGTTGACTCGATGATGTGAATAATAACTGAGAGTGCGCGGAATAATATTCACGAGTACAAGAAAGATTGCCTAGCATTATATAGCGAGTGCTCTAGCTAGGCGACGAAACCAGAGGGCTAGGTTGGGTATAGGCGCAGTCGAAAAGGTCGGAGGCGGCGCGGGCGTGCCTCGGGGTCGCGTCAGAAACGGACCGAGCCTGGTCTTCCGAGAGTTCGGGTGTACGCGATTGCACTACAATCCGGTAAGGAATAAAATTCCTTACACTACCCCCCCTCCTAAGGAAGGTGATCAACATCGGGAACGCCTTTTCGGGTAAAATAAGATTTGAGCACCGAGTGTTCCTGAAGCGAGGCGGAAGTGACCCATGTGTCGTCTTCGCTTGTACGGTCAACCCAGCGGACAAGAAAATCCACGTGGCGACCAGTTGAGTCGAGGCGGACTCGATGACTAAAAAGCCGGAAAGGCTCAAGGGTCAGTTCAGCCATCGGGCGGACACTTGGGGCGGCCGCTGGTCGTGCGACTGCAGACGTGCTGGCGACGTAGGGACGAAGCAGGCTGACGTGGAAGGCGTCGTGAACGCGCCACTCGTCCGGAAGTAATAATTTCGCCGTGACAGGTGTCATAATCTTGACAATACGAAAAGGTCCACAGAATCGCGTGCGAAGTTTTGAAGGCAGGGGCAGGCGAAGGTTCTTCGTGTCGAGAAGGACTAGTTGCCCTGCAGCCATGGTGATATCGTGGCGATGAAGATCTGTATAGCGTCGGGCGGTTGTGTTGGACTTGCGAATGAATTCGATCGCTTTTTCGCGGGCCTCCTGCAAACTGGTCACGAACTGCTGGGAACGTGGCACTGGGTTGTCGATGTTGGTAGTCGTCGGGACTGTCGGATCCATGCCGTAGTTTAGAAAAAACGGCGAGTGATTAGTCGTGGCGGATGGGGCATTGTTGTACGAAAATTCCAGCATGGGCAGGAATTCTTCCCACCAGGCAGGATCCGGGCAATTGGTGTGTATCAGCTGCTCCATGGTTTGATTGGTTCGCTCTGTCTGTCCGTCGGTTTGAGGATGGTAGGCGGAGGAAAACTGGAGGCGTGTGTCGTACTGCGCCCATGTCTCCTGCCAGAACTTGGACGTGAATTTTGGGTCGCGGTCATTGATGATCGCTGAGGGTAGGCCGTGCAGATGAACAACGGTGGAGATGAAAAGCTTTGCTGTATCTTCGGCTGTGATTGTTGTGCGACAGGGTGCGAAGTGTGCCATCTTCGTCAGACGATCGACGAGGACCAGGACGGCGTCGTTGCCCGTGGCGGCGGCCGGGAGCCCCGTGACGAAGTCCATCGTCACATGTTGCCACGGTCGCTGGGGTGGCTCTAGCGGTTGCAGCAGTCCAGCTGGCCACCGTCGGGAAGACTTCATGCGTTGGCAGATCGGGCACGCGGATACGTATCTCTGCACATCAGACGCCGAATCAAGCCAATAATAAAAACGGTGAAGTAACTTCTGGGTTTTATCAACCCCAAAATGACCGGAGAGGTTAGAATCGTGGACTTCTTGAATAAGTAATTCGCGGAGGAGTCGGTAAGCGGGAACCCAGATACGGTCAGTACCGGCTTTTAGGAAGTAAGGTCCTTTGGCTATGGTGGCTTGTTGGTGGTGGTTGCGGGTGAAAAAAGGGTCTGTGGTATATCAGTGGGTAAATAGGCCAGTGAGCAGCGGGTTGGATTTTGCGACGATGAGTGAGGCGAGGTGGGCGGATGGTCTTGTCAGCGCGTCAGCGATGTTATTCGCTCCCCGTTGGTACGTGATGGTGTAGTGGAAGTTGCGTTCGAGGAAGTCCAGCCAGCGAAACTGTCGTGGATTTAGATTCGGCTGCGCGCGGAGGTACTGTAGGGATTTATGGTCTATCCATACTGTCACGTCGGCCCCCGTCAGGTAGCATCGCCACACCTTGAATGCGTGCACGATGGCGAGCATTTCTTTGTCGTGGACAGGGTAGTTGCGCTCGGCTGCCTGCAACTTCCTAGACTCATACGCGATGGGTTGGAGTCCGTCGCCGAAATGTAACAGTATCGCACCGATGGCGAAATCGCTAGCGTCCGTCAAGACTTCGAACGGTCGAGATGGGTCGGCGATTCGGAGGACCGGGGGCGACGTCAGAAAATTTCGCAGTTCATCGAAAGCAGTCTGCTGTCTCTCCCCCCATTTTAACAAAGTGCCCTTCCGCAGCAGGTCAGTTATCGATCCGGTTTTCCCTGCCATATTGGGGATAAACCTCCGGACATAATTAACGAACCCGAGAAAACTCTGCAGCTCCTGTAAATTCGTCGGCGGTTTCCAGTCGCGAATCGTTGTGATTTTTTTCGGGTCGATTTTGATGCCGTCCGCTCCCATGATATGTCCCAAAAATTCCAGTTCGGATTTTAGGAACTCGCACTTGGAGCCCTTCGTGATGAGCCGATTTTCTTGCAGCCGTCGGAAAACTTGCTCAAGGTCCTTGAGGTGCTGTTCCTGTGTCTTGCTGTAGATCAGAATGTCATCAAGATAGACGATGACACACTTGTCGAGTAGATCTCAGAATACGCCGTTCATGGTGAGTTGGAAAGTGGATGGCGCGTTCGTGAGGCCAAACGGCATCACTCTGTACTCGTAGCTGCCATAGCGGGTTCGGAACGCCGTCTTGTGGTAGTCGTCAGCGAAGACTCGGATCTGATGGTAACCGCTGCGTAAGTCGATTTTCGAGAAGAAGCGAGCTCTGCGAAGTTGATCGAGGAGATTGTCCGCGCGTGGGATTGGGTAGCGGGACTTGATCGTTCGCCGATTTAGCGCCCTGTAGTCGATGCACATTCGCAGCCCGCCGTCTTTTTTGGGCGTGAACAGGATGGGTGCTGCGAACGGGGAAGTGCTGGGCTGAATGAACCCCTTCTCCAAGAGGTAGTCCAGTTGGCTTCGCAACTCCGCGAGCTGAGTCAGCCGCCACTGGGTCCTGACTGTAGGCTGCGCGCTGGGTTCCAGGTCAATTTTGTGGTCCTGGGGGCGCTCGGGTGGCAGTCCTGCTGGCAGATCGTCCGGAAAAATATCAGGGTACTGTCGAATCAGCGCGGCGAGCTCGGCAGGGACACTGGCACAAAGTATGTGGCAGTCCTTTGGCGTGTCGTCGACCGTCGCTTCGGCCAGGTGGACGGCGTACAGATCAGCTCCTTTTTTAATTGCTCGTTGGAGGGTGATGGCGTTGACACGTGTCGACACCGGATCTCTCCCACGCCAGCTTGGAAGTACGCGCCACCCGTTCGCACAGTGTACGCTGCATTCGCCAGTTGTCCAGTCGATCCTCGGATTGTATTTTCGCAGCCGATCACGCCCAAGCAGAATGTCGCAGCCGTCCAGTGTCGTGGCCAGCATGGGCATGCTGAATCCGAAGTCGTCGCCACACTTCATCCGCACCATGCGCGCTCGTTCTCGAATTGCAAGTGGAGTTCCGTCCACCAGTCGCGCGTCGATTTCGGGAAGAATTTTTTCCAACGTCAGCTTCAACTGCTTCGCTGTTGTTACGTGAATGGGACTGTGACTTGCTCCGCCATCCACATTTTTTTTTATTTTTTTTTGCCGTTAACCTTGCCTTCTACCAGCACATGGTGATCTTCAGGTTCGCTCCCGTTATTCGTCCGAGTGTGGTCGATAGCGTGTATCGGTACCACAACTTGGTGGGAACGTTGAAGTTCAGGCGACAAAGCCTCGTCAGTAGGGGGCCCGCCTGCTACTGACTTTTCCCATTTCCCGGCTTCTCCTTGTCGTTCCTCGTCTTCTTGGGCGCCGTCGGGCAGTACTTAGCTCGGTGACCTGGCTTGTCACATCGATAACATAGCCTGTGAAATGTTTCATCGGGCGCTGACACGCCATTGATCGTGGGGCGGGGAGACTGTCCACGAAAACGACCAACATCCCTGTTGTTCTTTCTCGCCCACTGCTGCAGTGCATCGGCTGCTGATGCCAACTGGACAGCTTCATCGAACGTCTTGGGACGGGACCGCTGCAACTCGTATTGAATATCGAAATGCAGCCCGCTAACATATTTGTCCCGCCTTTCCGCTTCGCTGAGGTCGTCGACTTGGTCCGCAAGTGCCGAGAACGACGCAGTGTAATCTTGAACAATAGTCACCTGCCGCTAGTTGCGCAGCTTCATGCGAGCGTCGTCTAAGGCGGATGAATGCTCAAAACGAGCTCGCAGAGCTCTGCCCCACTGTTTCCACATGCGAATCGCGGTCGTACCGAATATTGTTTCTGCCTGTTGGTTTGAAGAGTCCGAAGTCCCGTCCTTCGCTTGCTTCACTCCTGCCGTAGTCCCAATCGCCAACTGTCGTCGCCACGAATCCAACGCCGGTCCTCGGAGCAGCGACACGGCATAATTAATGCGCGCATCATCGGTGTGCACACTTGCTGCCGTGAAGAACAGCTCCATGCTGAACAGCCACCCTTGCACCGTCGTCGCCTTGTCCGAAGGGTTGAACGGGGGCGGTGTTGCTGGCTTGAGTTTAATCTTCGTTACGGTCACAGTGCGCACGTCGTCCTGCTCCAACTCCCGTGCGAGCTCGTCAAGGACGGTTTCGCTCGCTGCGTCGTCGGCACTTTGCTTGACCTCGTCTTCGGCGACTCCAGGCGACTCTTGATGCGCTTCACCACGCGTCTGGCGAAGCTCGGTGTTCTCTGTCCAAAGTCTCACGACTTCACTGTTCAAACTCGCCATCTGGGCTTGCATTGCCTGCATCTGAGCCATGACCTCGTCTAGCTGGGCCTGGGACATGATGCGAATGCTACGCCTTTCGGGCAGGGGGAAGGCCGTGGTAAGAAACCGTAGGGGGCGCAAACGCTATAGTAGTTGTGTGAGCTAATAACTTTAGCTCACGGACAACCGCTTTGCAGCCACGCAGGGTTAACCACTCCTTGGAAATAAACTACCCTGAGAAAGCGGGGTGAACCAGGAAAGTAGCTCTGATACCAGATAGCTGAGAGTGCGCGGAATAATAACTGAGAGTGCTCTGATAATGTTATGAATAATAACTGAGAGTGCGCGGAATAATAATCACGAGTACAAGAAAGATAACCTAGCATTATATAGCGAGTGCTCTAGCTAGGCGACGAACCCGGAGGGCTAGGTTGGGTACAGGCGCGGTCGAAAAGGTTGGAGGCGGCACGGGCGTGCCTCGGGGTCGCGTCAGAAACGGACCGAGCCTGGTCTTCCGAGAGTTCGGGTGTACGCGATTGCAGTACAATCCGGTAAGGAATAAATTTCCTTACACTCGAGTACTCGATACGACTTTCCTTGAGTGTAGTGTTACACTTCAGAAACGCTTAAGTCTTCGAGGTATTTCCAACAGAAGTAAACACGCCTTGATTTGGTAGCTCTAGGTTGGGAGAAATTTCGACCAATCAGAAAACCAGTTGTGTTCTTGCATGAGTAGTGAACTCGGTCCAACTTGGAAATCAAGTTGGGTCCACTTGGAGAATGACGATGCAATGGGGTCGCACAAGTACCTGTGACCTATGACAGCTCGCAAACCCTGTCCTACAAATTTCCCAGCCAATCGTGTGCTCGCGCTTGTTCGCTCTGAACAGCGCGGCTGCGTTATGGAACTGCCCTGGTTCTGCCGAGTAAGGCTAACAACCCCTTAGAAAAAATCGAGGGTCCCTTGGTTTGAAGTTGGACCTACCTTCACTATTTTAGCCCCTCGCTTTAAGTAGCGGGTAAGTGGGCCCATAACCCTCCAGGCTCTGCACCTGTGGCCCTTCCCCGAGGATCTCAAGGGCGACCCTAGCGGGTCTCCGACACCCCCCCTCGCTGAGATAGGCACGGAAGACCTTGCACCTCTTCCGGTGCAATGCCACCTCTACTGGTGCACACATCGTGAATTGAACCCAAGAACTTTGGCCATGTCAGATTTCAGTCACTAACCACTGTGTGAAAAGGGCTTGTTAAGTAGCAGGTAAGTGTGCCCATAACCCCCCAGGCTCTGCACCTGTGACCCTTCCCCGAGAATCTCAAGGGCAACCCCAACGGTTCTCCGACAATGACTTCAAGTTTCAAAGGGTTGTGAACATTGAAGAGGGGTGGCGAAAATTGCTAAGGCTTAGCCATCGCAAAACCCAGGCACTCCCCACGCAAAGGGTATGGCTCTCGCGAGCTGGAAAATGACATCGCCAATACTGGCGAGGTCACATGCGTAGAAGACTAGCAGCTCCAGGACCCAAACCTGTCTAGGGCGTGTTCGCTATCACCGAGTGCGAAGCAGGAAAATGAAATTGAAACAAAAATAAAACGAAGGGATGCAAAAACGCGACTACGCACATAAAAATTGGAGAGGCTGAGGCCATAGGGATATGGAAACATGGGGAATGTACAAACACCCCCTTTGGCCCCAACACCAGCCCCACCGAGCCCAGCGTGAACAATGGAGAGAAGCACACGTAGCTCTACAAATAAGCACCGCACTTGCTTGCGCTTTGTAGCGGCATTCCAGCAAAACTATCCCACACACCCCACCCAAACATTCTCATGGCTATCCCATCGCACCGGAAAAGCATAACGAGGAGGCCTCTTTTCTAAAACGTGAGAAGAGCCACATCTCATAGGGTACCGGAATTACACTCGCAACCTGTCGTGCCGTCTTCCCCACTTCCAACAGAAAAGTTGCCATTAGTGGGCACCCAACGAAAGGCCATAGGGGCCCTGCTACAAAGCGGACCCATCGATGCATCCATCTTTCCCCTCTCGTGCTCCAGCGTCGCACACATTTAACGCCAGGCACGCGACGCACAACGGGACCTCAGCGCCACCCACGCAACCCCATCCGAATCAAGGTGCGCTATCTGCATCTTGTAGCGGCACACCTATGGTATTTTGCATTAGCTTCCCTATGCCCATGCATTCCCGCGCCGCTGCACTCCATATGCTTTCCCCGTGCCCATGCATGCCCACGCTAATGCCTTCGCAATGCCCATGCAAATGGTGCGCCATGGCCTTCGCTATTCTAAAACCATCCCTATGCCTATGCTCTATGGTGGCAATGCTAGTACTATGCCCAGAGCTCGACTTTCCCCCCTGTCGGACCTTGCCTTCACCCCAAACCAGATTTCTCCTTTCCCCCCTCTCTAACCCCACCTAACCCCCCAAACCAGAGCTCACCTTCCCCACTGGCCGAACCCACCTTCCCCCCAAACCAGAGCTCACCTTCCCCACAGAGCCGAACCCACCATCCTGTGAAAGTATCGCAAGTGAAAAAGTGTGACTAGTAAGGGGAGAAAGGAGATATAACGAGAGTGTTATCCAGCACGAGAGTGGGAGAGCAGGAGAGTGGGAGAGCAGGAGAGTGGGAGAGCAGGAGAGTGGGAGAGCAGGAGAGTGCAAGTACAGGAGAGTGGGAGAGCAGGAGAGTGGGAGGGCAGGAGACTGGGGGAGTCGGTGAGCGAGCGAGTACCAGAGCAAGAGAGCAGGAGAGCGGGGGAGCGGGGGAGCAGGAGAGTGGGAGAGCAGGAGACCGGGGGAGCTGGTGAGCGGGTGAGCGGGAGAGTGGGTGAGCAGGAGAGTGGGGGAGTTGGAGAGCTTATGGGGGAGTGGGAGATTGGGGATGCGGGAGAGGGGGTGGCCAGCAGGAGAGTGTGTGGGAGAATGGCAGGGTGAATGGGAGAGCGGCAGAGTATGAGAACGGGGGGGCGGGAGAGTGTGGGAGAGTTTGAAAGTGGGAGATTGGGAGGTTGGGACTGTTGGCACGTGAGATAGTAGGAGAGCGAGAGAGCAGGTGAGCAGGAGAGTGGGAGACTGGGAGATTGAGGGCGGCAATCATTGGCGTGCCTTGTCACGGGTTGCGGATCCGGACGGACGCATCGACGCATCGCGGCCCCACCTTTGAACGTGCATGGCGCGGGCAGGCATGGCTACGTGGGCTGAATAACGTCGCTAGAGCGGGGCGCTAGCTGCAGCGCGAGGGTCCAACAGCGACGTCCACGCGATGTGGTGGCAGGACTGCGGGGCTTTTGCGAAAGAGAGGGCAGGAAAGGGCTCTCCTAACCGAGTGTGGTTCACTCCTCTCTCAATCACGCCGTTTTCCGCATCGGCGTGACGTGGGC